TTCCAGGTTGGCTCTGGGAGGAGGTTGATGTGGCTTCCATTCACTCCTCCACCATCTTGTCTCTGGATCTTTTATCCATTTTCTAATTGGATTTTTAATTAATTATTGAGGTTTTTTAATTGAGATTTGAGAGTTCTTTATTTGTTCTAGATACTAGTCTCTTGTCAGGTATGTGGTTTGTAGATGTTTTCACCTAGTCTGACACTTGTCTTTTTATCCTTTTAAAAGTGTTGGCATAGAGCAGAAGTTAATTTTGATGAAGTGCAATTTATCATTTAACTTCTTACATGTGTTGTACTTTTTATGTCATGTCTAAGGACTCTTCATCAAGCTCTAGGTCTCCAAGATTTCTTTTTGTGTTATCTTCTAAAAGTGTTTTAGTTTTAAGCTTTACATTTAAGTCTATGATCCATTTTTACTTAATTTTTATATAAGAACTAAGGCATATTTTATTTTATTCTATGTGACTACAGCTATCTAGTTGTCAGCACAATTTGTTAAAAAGACTGTCCTTACTCTGATGAATTACTATTACTCCTTTGCCAAAAATCAGTTGGCTATATGCATGTGAGTCTGCTTCTATTCTGGTTCATTGAATCCTGGGTCTATCCATCCACCTCATCCTGATAACTATCATTACATAATAACCCTTAGTATCAGGTAGGGTGAGTCCTTCCACTTTATTTATTTATTTTTAAACTGTTATAGTTCTTCTAGTTCCTTTCCATTTCCATTTTAGACTAAGTTTATATGCATCTTTTTAAAAAACTTGCTGGGATTTTCATAGGAATTGTATTAAACCTGTATATCAATTTTAGAAGAACTGACATCTTTACTCTGTTGAGTCTTCAAATCTATGAACATGGCATTTTTCTCTATTTATTTAGATCTTCTTTTATTTCTTTCATTAGTATTTTATAGTTTTCAGTATACAAAATTTCAGCCTGTACATGTTTTGTTAGATTTATGTTTAAGTATTTTTTCTCCTTTCTGAGTAACTGTAAAGGTTATCCTATTTTTAATTTCATTTTCCATGTGCTCATTGCTAAGATATAGAAATACAATTGGTTTTTGTGTGTTGATGTGATATCCTATGACCTTGCCAAATTTACTTATTAGTTCTAGGAGGGTTTGTTTTTTTCTTGGGTTTTTATTTTTATTTTTTGTAGATTCTTTGGGATTTTCTATGTAGACCATCATGTCATTTGCAAATAGAGACACTTTTATTTTTTTTTTCTAACCAGTGTGCCTTTTATTTTCTTTTGTTGATTTATTGCTCTGGCTAGGACTTTCAGTACTATGTTGAATAAGAGTGATGTGAGTGGACATACTTGCCTTGTTCCTCATCTTAAGGGTAAAGCATTCTGTCTTTCACTAAAAAGTATGATAGTATCTGTAGGGTTATTTTAGATGTTCGTCATCAAATTGAGGAAGTTTCTATTAGTAGGTTTCTGTGATTTTTTAAAATAACAAATATGTTGAATTTTATCAAATGCTTTTTCTGTGTAAATTTATATGATCATATAATATTTTTCTCATTTACTGTGTTAATATGGTGGGTTACACTGATTACTTTTCAAATATCAAACCAGCCTCACTTGTCCAAAACAAACCCCATTTGTTTGTTGTGTATAAGTTTTATACATATTGCTGAACTGTATTAGCTAATATTTTTTTAAGGATTTTTTCTGTCTATGTTCATGAGGGATATTGGTCTGTAGTTTTCTTTTGTCATACTGCCTGTATCTTTTTTCAGAATCAGGATATCTGGCATCACAAAATGGGCTGGGACATGTTCCCTACTCTTTTGTTTTCTGGAAGAGATTGTATAGAAGTGGTGCTAATTCTTTTTGAAAGTTTTATGGAATTCTTCAGTAAAACCATCTGGTCCTAGAGACTTCTTTGACAGGGATTTTAAAATTATGAACCCAATATCTTTAATATGGCTATTAAGATTATCTATTCATATTGGGTAAGTTATAGTACTTTGTGAGATTGGTCTGTTTCATCTAAGTTGTAACATGTCTATTGTTCATAGCATTACCTTATTATCCTTTTGATGTCTATGAGAGCTATAGTGATACCACTGATAGAGGTAATTTGGTAATTGGTAATTGGTAATTTCTGATATTGTTAATTTGTATTTTCTCTCTGATTTTCTTTGTCATGCTAGAGGTTTGTCAATTTTATTGATCTTTTCAAAGAACTAGCTTTTCATTTCATTGACCTCCTGTGTTATTTTTATTCTCAACTGCATTGATTTCTGCTCCTATCTTTATTATTTTCTTCTCTCTGTGCAACTCTATCCAGATAATATAATGAAGCAAACTTGCCATTGGTGAAAAATATATATGGTGTCAGTTCACTGCATGTATATAAAATATTCATTATTATAACATAAACATATATTATTAATTATATTATACATTGTATCTATTAAGTGTAGAAACTGACATTTACAGAGATTACATCAAAAGAAATTCCCTCCTAAATAAGGTAATGAAACTGACTGGCTTTTCTGGCTTGTGGCTTGTTGTGTTACTTAAGGACCACAAATCATTTATATAAATCAAGTTTTTATTCTAAATTGATTAATAAATCCCCCAAAATTCAGCATGGTATTTTGACTTCTGTGACCTCAGTAAGATCAATACCTACTTAGTGTTTACTTCTCCAGGCTGTTGACAGAGGCCCTGCTCAGAAGTCAGAAGCCCAAAGTAGGACTCACAGTTCCACCATAAATAATTGGGAGTTATCTGCAATTTTTAACCAAGGCTGATTTCTGGTCTGTGTATAAAATAAAAATATATATAACCACAAATCCAAAGCCAGGTCACTGCTTTCCAGAAATCCAATTTAACTTTTTTAATTTGATATTTTCTGATTGATATTTTAAGACAGGATTGCAAAATGGCTGTATTGTTTTCTGTTAATGCACAAACTGTATACTATCTTCCTTAGTCTCTTGGGCAAGTGTTGTTATTCACAAAGGACAAATTTTGGCAACTTGAAGATATGATCACAGGAGTATTTCAGCAGATAAGCCTTATGTATGTCCTGAGTGCAACTGATGGCATGGTAGCTGTCCTCTTGGAGTCCCCAGATTAAGTGACACACAGATGATGTGGTGGGTGTGTTGGAGGGTGGAATGGCTCACACCCAGGCAGCTAATGAACAGGTAACCTTCCTATCCTGGAGTGCAGTAATATGATCATGCAAGGACAAGTTAGGACACTCTGTGCTGTATAATCCTATTAGACTGAAAATTTATGATACTCTGTGCTATATAATCCCATTAGACTGAGAATTTATGATAAAGATCTTTGTAAGATAACATAAAGAATAAGGGCTGGGAGAAGTCCTGAACTCTTTAGGTAATTTCATTTGTAACCAATATTTTTAAAGAGGTTCAAGATGACAACTTGTAATCAAAGGCACTATCCTAGAATGTGAAGAGCTGGGGCTCTGGTGTCTAACAGACTCAGTTACAATCTTGGTTCCACCATTTTCTAACTTTGTGATCTTGGGCAACTTATTTAACCTCTGTAACTCCCAGTTTCCTCACTGGTTAAATGGGGATGACAATAGTGTGAGAACAAAATGTGACAATTAATAAATATGATAAAGAATTTTCTTACATTAAATGTATCATCTGGCACATTGTAAACATTTATTATATTTTAGCTATGATATTATCATTACTAATCATAGTATCAATACTACTACAATTACTGTTATTATTACTAGTGAGTCTTACATTAATGGAATGTAGCTTGCTTTTTTGGAATTTGTTATAATTTTTTAATACTATGGTAATATAGAGTCTGAATAAGTCACAGTCTGAATGTGTGACTAATTATAAGTACCACTTTAAGAAGCATCACCTTCTCACTTGCATATTTCAGAGGATATTAGTAGCATGAGAAATTTGGCATGTCTACCACAGTGTTTCTCAACCATTCTTTTTATTATTGTCCCCCTAAGGAGTCTTCAAAAATGTTTTCCCCATTTTTAATACCACAGTAAAATTTTAATACCACAATTATTTTTCTTTTTAAGAAATTCCACCACAGATCTACTATGTATCTATTTATGTACTATGGTGTTTTAGAAGCTACAAACTATTGTAATGCCTGAACACATTATTTTGTCCTACAAGAACCAATTTTCACACCCATGGGAGCAATATCACACCCCCCCCCCACATTGAGAATACATGATTTAATCCAGTAGTTCCCAACTGAGGGCAATTTTGCCTCCCAGTGGGCATTTGACAATGCCTGAATTGTCTGAAGACATTTGTGATTGCACTGGGGTGGGTGGGTGCTTACTGGTATCATGTGGATAGAGGTCAGCACTCAAAATGTTAAGTTTGCCTCTGCAATTATTAAGGAAGGTAAAAAATGGACTATGTGAACTCTAAGGTCACAAGGTAAAGACAGTAGCAGAAGTTAGGCTCCTGACTTTCAGGTTGAACGTATGGACAATGTGATATACTTGTTTAGGAAAAAAAGGCCATCTTTGCTTCTTAACTATTGTTGCTGTTTTCAATAATGTAGTGCTTTTTACTCTTTCTGTCAAATATGTGTAAAAAATGTGTGAACACTTCCAATATGTGTTCCGTAACAACTTGTTTTCTATTTTTGTATGTTTGTGTCTTGCTTTATGAAGCACATGTATTCTTGAAAAAATTGTATAACTTAATTTCCTGTGAGTTGCATTTATTCATCAGATTTCATTTTATTATATATTTGAAAGGTTTATCTTCATTCCTAATTGGTCCTAATTTTGATCTGGCATATAACATTGTTGCTTTAAATGTGAATTTAGTGGCCTCTCTGCCTGAATTTTAGAGAGTAGGAATAGTTTAAGAGAGAATATGGATTTATGTTTAAAATGACAGTTTGTTCTTTGATGGACGTGGTCCAGGTCATATTTCCAGAGCCCCTGGCTCCCCTATTGTCCCTGTCACACTCACATTCCCTTCTTCTGCTGCCCAGAGTTGGCGTCGAGGAGCCCTTCGAGGAGGACCAGAATGAACACCGCTGGCAGTACTTCAGGTGACACAAGGGCATCCTCTGAAACAAATTAACCGGGCCTGGCTTTTCTCATCTTTCTAATCTGAGATGTTTCTCTTTATGCTGTTTGTCTCTTTCTTCCTGTGTGTACCAACCCCTTGCCCCCTTTAGCAAAGGGGCAAGAGGGCAGGTCAACTCTAATAACTCTTCCACTCTTTCTCTGGGCTGCTTGATGTATCAATGTTCCTGAGATTATGTCCCAATACCCTGCATTTTGGACAATGCTGGCATGTGTCTCTCTGTACAACTGAGCTTAATGTTAAGAGCACCACATATGCAGAGCCACAAATAGTTTCCCCACAAAATTCTGCTAATTTCCTACTAAACAAGGCTTCTAACTCATGAAGAGAACTAGAATTTTATATCTCAGCCATGGTTGGGTTATGGCTTACACCATCTTAATTAAGTACTATTTTAGTTTTTAAAATATGTTTTTGTGTATTTGTACATTATCACAGTGAATCAGAAGATATGAAAAACAGGCATTTTTAAGCCAGAAGATAATTAAAGGATCTTCTAATGCAATTTGTTTCTCAGTGTACATCCAAGTTTTTGATTTGATTATGCTTAACGGCGGTGATGTTGGGCAATCAGAATAAAAACTTTAATATTCTTTCCTTTCTGTATCTCTAACTTGCATGCTTTCTTCCTGATCTGGTTTTGTGTCCTGGTCAATAATTCAAGTGCAAAGTAGGCTTGAACTTTGTTCTTGGCATTGTGAAAGTGTTTCACTCTTTAAGCACAGTGATGGAAGCAGCCATACATGGATCTAGGTCCTGGATGTATTCCATAATGACATATAGAAAATTAATTGAAGCATTTAAACTTTCTGGGTTTTAACTATTTTCTACTGTTTAAAATACACACATACACATTCATTTTTGGAGATCTGACTTTAGATATTGATTAAGTTGCAGAGGAAACCCTCTCCTTTGAAATATTCCACCTTTAAGAAGAAAGTTTCTTCAGGCAAAGTGCCAAGTATTACACTTGGGACATGAGAGGATTCAGATTCTGATCTGTTGTTCAAGGTTTTGTATGAAGTTATGTGTCTAATAGTCCTCAAATTATTTAGGATCTCTGCCATTCAAATTAAAAAAAGAACTATCAATTAAAGTAGATAGTTCTAAATTTATAAATTTCAGAAGTTCTAAAATTTCTTCAGTTTTATGGCTTTTTATATAGCAGTTAATGAGAATGTACATATTATACCAGAAGGGAAATTATTTATTTTTTGTATTTAATTATTCTAGAATGAGCACATCTGTTTGATTGCTTTACTTCCTCATTTGGTGTGGGATTTTCACATTTGTTTCATTCTTAATGAAAATAAGGATAATTCAGTTTATTCTAGAAGAAAAGAGTGTCATATGTGCTCTGATGAGCTCAACCCTGATGTATCAGGGGAATGCTAAAATATGATATAGTAAAACAGCACACAAAGTTCAAAGCATTACAGTGGGTCAGAAGAGAAGTGTATATTGTGGACAGTTGCCTGAAACTAGGAATTTCAGAAAGTCAGAGAACCCCCAAGTCTTCTGTGGCATTATACCAAAATACTGTGCCTGGACTTTCTTGCTGCCCAGAGCATCCCCAAACACCCTGGCCCATTGTTTAATCTCCTGTCTCCAGAGACCAGGTTAATTTTGAGCTCTGCCCCAAGGGCAAGGCTCCTTGTGGTGGTCCACTGTCATTCTTGGAGATTAGTCTGAGGGGTCCTCAACCCTGTCAGAATAGTAATTATTAAATTGTTATAAAGTAAACAGCCTTCGATGGAGAAACAAATCACACAGCACCATTTGAGTCTCATGGTCCCTTGTCTGTTTTTTTTTTTTCTGTTATTTAAAAAGGCAATAGCAGTCCGAGAAGTAGGTCTTTGTTTCCTTCCTCAGAAATCTATCAGCATTTTTACCAGGAGCAGAGGCCTCCCATGTTTCTTTGCCTGTGGGAAGGCCCAGGAGGTCCTCTTAGGCTCCTTTTAGGCTCCATGGTGTCAAGAGCTTGAACTGCACCTCAGACAATAGTTGATGGCAAGTGGCAACAGCAAGGGTCAGAACTTCCATGGCAGAGGTAGGTAAAAGCAAGAAAAGTGGATGCTGGGTAGCAGTGTCCTTAGAACTGAGGATTGCCTGGGGATTGGTTCAACAAGATCAGAAGATGGCTTAATTTGTTGGAATTTGATTAACTATGTTTCAATTAACTATCATTTTTCTCCTTGCCTTTTCATGTTAGGAGAATCTTAACAAAATATTCCAGGATTTATCTGGAGAGGAAAACTACATAATTACTAGAATCTGTATCTACCTATTTATCTATTACCTGTATTTATCTATTATAGCACCCATGAATCTTCACAATTTGTGGTTTTCACACCCCAAAATAATACAAGATCCTTAATCATCAATATTAGTAGATTAGAGAGCCAAGAAAAATACTGATGTGTTTTTGAAACATTTTCAAGAAGGATATAATTAAATATTCCCCTTTTATTTTCACCAAGGATATAATTAAACAGTCTTCTTTTTTAGTTGTGAAACAATTTAAATCTGTAAAAAATTGAAAGAATGGAACGATGAATACCCAAGTTCTAACCTGAATGTGTGAATTCTAAACATTTTATCATATTTTTTGGTCATTTTCACGCTCTTGCTCTCTCTCAACCATTTCAGAGTACTTCATAGTACATAGCAGATATCATGACTTTCTAACCCTAAATACTTCAGCATGTATCTTCTAGGAATCCAGTCTCCCTACATGATTACAATACCTTTATTATACCTGAGAAAAAGTAATATGAATTTTACAGACACACTGGATACAGGATCCAATCAAAGTTTACTTTGATTGGCATGTCCTTTTAATCTCCTTTAGTCTGGAACAATACTCAACCCCATTTTTGTGTGTCTTACAACATTGTGTTTTTTAACTATTCAGGACAATTGTCTCACAGAATTCCCACAATCTGGATTTTTATTATTTGTTTTCCTCATGACTAGAGATAATCATTTTTGCAAAAAAAACCCCAAAAAACTGTAAAGGTGATATTATGCATTTCTTTTTTTTTTAAACATTTTATTCATTTATTTTTAGAGAGGGAAGGGAAGGAGATAAAGAGAGAGAGAGAGAGAAACATCAATGTGTGGCTGCTGGGGGTCAGGGCCTGCAACCCAGGCATGTACCTTGACTGGGAATCGAACCTACAACACTTTGGGTCGCAGCCCGTGCTCAATCCACTGAGCTGTGCCAGCCAGGGCTTGCATTTCTTTTTTAAAAGATGTTATGTATTTACTTTTAGAAAGGGAGAAGAGAGGGGAAAAAGAGAGGGAGAGAAATACCAATGTGTGGTTCCCCCTCACTTGTCCCCTACTGGGCACCTGGCCCACAACCCAGGAATGCATGCTGACTGGGAATCAAACCAGTGACCCTTTGGTTCACAGACCGGCACTTAGTCCACTGAGCCACACTAGCCAGGGCTGATGTTATACATTTCTTGTTGCATGTTATCATGTGGTGCATATTGCCAGTCTGACCTTTATTAGTGATGCTAAACTTGATCACTTTACACCCTAGATTTCTCCCGTGTAAAGGTGTAATTTTTCCTATGTAACTAAGAAGTAATCTGTATACCTGTCCCTTGACTAAACTCTTCCCCTTCTTTCTCCCCTTACCCCGCTCCCCTCTGGTTGCTGTCAGTCTGTTCCTTGTTTCCATGTCTCTGGTTCTATTTTGCTTGTTTGTTTGTTTTGTTCATTAGGTTCCTCTTATAGATGAGATCACATGGTATTTGTCTTTCACCTCCTGGCTTATTTCACATAAAACAGCAGTTTTTCAAAAAGCAATCTGTAGAGTGATCCTTTGATATTATATGAATAGCCAGACTCCAAACAACACTTTACCTATTGTACATCATCCATTGATGACCCTTGATTGAAATAGTTATTATACTAGGCATGGAAATAGTGATTTTCTAATTCTGTCATTCCTCTAATGTTTATAAAATGACATTTATCTACAAAGAAGAGCTTTCAGAGAGTTTTCAAGTTTATTTTATATACTGATGAAATGAGGAGTCTCCCCATTGTCTAATCAGTTTGAGCAAAGTTTTACTTCATATTTCTGGCACTAGGGATTGTGTCTCTGCAGGATCTCAGCAGGCATCTTGGGTGTTATCACTGAGAATGTAAAAGGTGGGAGACAGTTGCCACTTCTTTAGTCTAGAAAAGAATGATGCTAGAGAGATGTGGCTGGAATTAGTACTGTCTAGAAACCTCACTGTCCAATTTTGTAGCCACTAGCCACATGTAGCTATTTAAATTTAATTTTTAATTTATTAAAACTAAATAAAATTTAAAATGCAGTTCCTCAGAATCAGAGAAATGGACATCACATGGAGGGATTTAAGTGGGGAGGGGGAAGGGAGGAATGGGAGGAAAGGTACAGGGAAGAAGAAGCATAATTAGTAGGCATAAAATGGATGGGAAGAGATAAAAATGGTATAGGAAACAGAGAAGTCAGAACTTATATGTCCAACCCATGAACATGAACTAAGGGGTGGGGGGAATGCTGGAGGGTTGGAGGGTGCAGGGTGGAGGGGGAATAAAGGGGGAAAATTGGGGAAACTATAATAGCATAGTCAATAAAAAGTACTTAAAAAAACCCCTGTAGTCCTTGATGTAGGGATATGTATAAATTTGGTAACGTGGCCAGTAGAATTGACTTTCTGCAAATAAAAAGGATTTTATTTTACTCATTCACACACACACACGCACACACAATGCAGTTCCTTAGTCATATTAATGACATTTCTAGTGCTGAGCGGCCATATGTGGCTAGTGGCTACCATGCTGGACAGCGCAGATCTAGAACACTACCATCATTGCAGAAAAGTTCCATTGGACAGTGTGGATCTAGAATCACTCTTAAGTTCTTCCAAACAAAATGTTGAACTTCCTGAGTTTGGGATGAGATTTGGGTGGCTCTAATTTTGTGAGTTTATCCAATTATTTCATTGTTTTCTGTTTTGTTGTTTTGATTCTAGCCTGGTCACATGGTCCCAGGGTGAACAGGAGTTCCACTGATGTTTCCAGGGCTTGAGTGAAAATAGTCAAAACCTAGTCTTTATAAGCAGTTCTTGTTGAATGGAATTTATTTTAATTTTCTGCTCAACAATATTTTTCCCTCCTGGTAGAGATCAGTTAAAAGAATAGAGGGGATAAATTTCCTTTGGCAGGTTTTATTGTATTTTACTTTATTTTCTTCATTGTAGTACAGGGCACTCTTCAGCCTTTTTTCCTACCCATAGGCTTGCTATTTCACCTCAGCTGATAAAGTCAATTGGTTTTATCTGTATTGACATGAAAGCCCTATATGAAGGCTAATACACCTGTTTCAAAATTCATGGTACAGAAAAGAGAGATTATTAGTGCCAGATCTGAATGGCCATAGTCTTGGGCATAATATACTTCAGGCCATTCAGATCTCATAAACTTGCTGCTGCCCTACAATAGCCTCTCTGTGGTTAGGCTAAGGGCTGTTGGGTCACCTAACATTCTGGTAAGCTATCTGGGAGACCCTGGGGTAACTGGCACCATGTCCCTCTAAATGTGCAGTGGGAGCACATCTGAGTCACTTAGTCCATCATGAAGTGGCTTATAGAATCCACAGAACAAGGCCCATTATTGGATTCCTAGCTGTTTGTTTTATAAATGCTGACAAAACTGCCCTATAGAAGACTTTTCTCTGTGTAATACACATTAAGAGACTCAAAGTATGTGAGTGTTCAGAATCAACAGCTAGGAATTTAAGTTGTGACCTCTCCTCTACCACTTTGGTACATTAGACACTTTGGGCGCACTGATGCTCTGGTATGACTTTTGTGGGCAGTCCTGGGACCCCTGAAGTAGATGGATTTCATGTCAAAAAATATCTGTGAGATTTGTTGCTTAAAAGTCCCTGGATAATGTCCAGTTGTGAGGACAAGCCTCCAGCCCTCAGAAGCTCCTGCCTAGAAGCAGCTTATAGACACATAGAACAGTCTACATAATTTACCATGAAAGGTCCCATTAAACCTTAGGCCCATGGGGAAGAAATCAGGCACTGGGCACACTATGGGTTTTAACTAAGTGCTCATAACAGGGTGAAAAATATGGGGTAACTCTTCCCTTTCCTTCTATAACCCTACCCTGTCCAAGGACATGCACCTTTGGTTAGTGCTTGACAAGCCTGGAATGAGAGGGGAGAGGTTGGCTTTGGAGGTGGGGGTGCATCTATGTTGTCTTCTATTCCCCTTTCACATTACTATCTTCTCTCAAAAAATATGCTGGGCATCACAGATGGGAAAGAGGAAAGGAGAGGAGGAAAAGTAAGGCATACACACACAGAGCTTTGTGCTTCTGCAGCTCTGCTCATTGGAGTAAGAACCCTGGTACTGACTGCAGATAACACCCTGGTGAAGGACACTTGAGCTTGAAGAGAAGGCCATTCAGCACCTTTCTTCAAGTTCAAATCAGGCCTGCTGAACATTGTTCTCAGTTTACCTTGTGTAATACCATATGTTCTTTGTGATACTGGAAGGAGTGAGGGAAGAAGAGAATTCTCCTGGCATCTTTGTTTTTCCCCGCATTTCCCCATATTATCTATGTCATCTATGTCAGAATCAGGAAGGCACAGGAATAAAGAATTAACATATGCATAGGGCAACAGTTGGTATGTTACTGAGCCAAGAACACACTTTTATGGAATTAGTTATAAGCTGATTTTGCCACTTTGCTTTTTGCTTTTGTGTTTAGTTGTTCATCTCACATATGTGACTCCTTAGGTCATCTCTGCTGTAGGAGGATGTGGGGGCACCAGGATAAAAATTTTGAGATACACACATGCTGGAGTATTTAGAGGAAGTATACTGATTCCTGCAACTTTATTTTAATTCATCCAAAAAAATAAGAAGGGGGGAGAGATGGATAGACATGTAATAAAGAAAATACAGCAAAATTTTAATGGTAGAATCTAGGTGGTGGGTATGTAGGTGTTCACTATAAATTCTTTCAGCACTTTCTTGGATATGTGAAAAGTTTCATAACAAAAGGTCAGGAAAATAAAAGGAGGTCAGGACAACAGTAAGAAGCAGTAGAGAGGAAAAGGCCTGGTGCAGTGGGACCCACATTTTTATAATGGACAGTCTGGTGCAGGAAAGCAGATTGACAGTTGCCAGCTGGTGCTGTTCCCTAGAGGCCTTGCTTAGGGTGTAAGCACACAGGATTTATTGCTTCTCCTACCCTCTGAGATCTGATGTGATATATAATCTCTTTCTCATTATTTGAATGATAGCCTCTCTCTTCTTTTAGATACCCTCTCCTTCTGCTTCAAGAAGATGGTCAGCCTCTTGCCAACTTTCAGCCAGAAAGCTTGCCCTGGTCCAAGCTAATACTCTCCATTTTTCTCCTTGTCTTTCTCCCTGGTGACTGATAGAGTTGGTGTTGACCCAGATCAAGACCCACCACCCAACAATGACAGCTTTCAAGTCTTACAAGGGGTAAGTCACAAGACATGCTTTTTCCCAGGGAAGACATTATTAAAAATAGCTAAAATTTATTTAGCATTTACTACACACCAGGCACTTTACATGAATTCCCTCATTGTGATCTTGATAAGAACTTTATGAGGTATGTACTACTGTCCCATTTTATGGATTAGAAACTGAAGTTTGGGAGTGTCAGTGAATTATATAAGGCCAGAGAATTAGAAAGTGGTGGAGCCAGTATTTGATCCCAGAGACAGTGTTCTTAAGCAACATATTAAGGGGGTGGGCTGGCCAGAAAGAGTGTTTAAGCTAAGTCCCCAACTCCCTATCTTCCACAAATGGATATATTGGGTAGATTGGTGATTGGTTCACTGCAACTTATTCTGAGTCTCTCAGTGGTACCCAGGCAAAGGAAGGAAAGGGATGTGATTGCAGGCTGTCCTGGTCTTCTAGTGCCTGGGATCCTCCAAGCTCTCCGAGTTTCCCTCCAACCCTCCAATGGCAGAGCAGCAGCCCTCACCCCTATGTGGGCTGAAGGTCACAGCAAGACTAACAGTTAAGGCTTGCACAGGGCAGTAGCAGCAGTGACAGCATGGAACAGAGCATGGGGGAGGGAAGCTGTAGAGACAGTGAATGGAAGAGCCCTATGGCAGCATTTAGTGTGACCACAGGGAAGAGTGGCTGTTGCAGCAGAGAATGTTGATGGCCCTTGGTTTGGCCATCTGCAACACTTACTATTGCTGCTTAATAAACTGCCCCAAATGTAAGAGAATGAACAATTTCTCCTACTCATGGATTCTCTAGGTCAGGTATTTGGAAAGGGCCTAGTACAGATGGCTTGCCTTTGCTCCATGAAGGAGGCCAGGGGTTACCTGGGTGAAGCTGGGGCTGGAATCATCCCAAGGTTGATTTGCTCCCATACCTGGCTCCTGGGCTGGGAGGATGCACACGAGGACAGCCAACTAGAATACTGAATTGTGGCTTCTCCAGGTGGCCTCAGGGAACTGGACCCCTTATATGATGACTTACGGTTCCAAAAGCCAGTGTCCCAGCAAGCAAGGGGGAAGCTACATAGCCTTTTCTGACCTAACCTTGCCAGTCTCACTCATCACTTTTGTGACTTTCTGTTGGTTACAACGAGTTGCTAGGGCTAGCCGAGATTCAAGAGGAGGGGATAGAGACCATAACCTCTGAGTGGCAAGAGTGTCAACAAAGTGATAGATGCATTTTTATGCTGTGGTATCATCCCTGTTCTGGGGCTGGCAGGATGATTTTGTCTCTAGGTTTTGCTCCTTTCCCAGGCTGGCATTTCCTGGGCAGGCCAAGTGGTAGAAATGAGAGTTATGATGAGAGCAGAAATTTTTTCCAAAATATTATTATTTGCCCTTGGGAGTCAAGAACAATTCTGATCAGCATCAAAAACCCAGTGCTGAGCACAGTGCTGAGCCTAGCACCTGGGGAGCTCGATAGGTGTTTGATAGGCAGATGCAAACATGACAGACCAATGCAGTAGGAAGCTTCACTGACCACATACATATGTTACCTGTGAAACCATGTCGATTGTTTCTTTTTCTTCCAGCCAGCTTTGTTTTTTTAAAAATTATTTTATTGTTGTTCAATTACAGTTGTCCTCATTTACCCCCCGCCACTCCCTCCTCACCCCAGCCATCCCCATCTGCCTCCCCTGCTTCCACACCTTCTTGGTTTTGTCCATGTGTCCTTTACAGTTGTTCCTGAAAATTCTTCTCCCCTTTGCCCCATTATTCCCTCCCACCTCCTCTCTGGTTACTGTCAAATTGTTCTTAATTTCTATGTCTCTGGTTATATTTTGCTTTCTTGTTTGTCTTGTTGATTAGATTCCAGTTAAAGGTGAGATCATATGGTATTTGTCCCTCACCGCCTGGCTTCTTTCATTAGCATAATGCTCTCCAGTTCCATCCATGCTGTTGCAAAGGGTAGGACCACTTTCTTTCCTTCTGCTGTGTAGAATTCCATTGTGTGCATGTACCACAGTTTTTTGATTCATTCATTTATTTACTGATGGGCACTTAAATTGCTTCCGGCACTTGGCTGCTATAAATTGTGCTGCTATGGACATTGGGGTGCATAGGTTCTTTTGGATTGGTGTTTCAGAGTTCTTAGGATATAATCCTAGCAGTGGAATTGCTGGGTCAAAAGACATTTCCATTTTTAGTTTTCTGAGGAAATTCCATGCTGTTTTCTACAGTGGCTGCACCAGTCTGCATTCCCACCAACAGTGCACTAGGGTTCCCTTTTCTCCACACCCTCTCCAACACTTGTTTGTTGCTATGTTTATGATGGCCATTCTGGCCGGTGTGAAGTGGTATCTCATTGTGGTTTTATTTTGCCTCTCTCTTATGGCTAGCGATGCTGAATATCCTTTCATATGTCTCTGGACCCTCTGTATGTCCTCCTTGGAGAAGTATCTGTTCAAATCCTTTGCCCATTTTTATTGGGTTGCTCGTCGTCTTAGAGTGGAGTCATGTGAGTTAATTTTGGAGATCAAACCCTTGTCTGAGGTATCATTGGCAAATATGCTTTCCCATGTAGTTGGTTCTCTTTTCATTTTAATGCTGTTTTGTTTAGCCATGCAGAAACTTTTTAATTTAATGAGGTCACATTTGTTTATTCTTTCCTTTATGTCCCTTGCTCTAAGGTGAAAACATTGCTGTGTGGAATGTCTGAGATTTCTGTTCCTGTGATTTTGTCTGGGACTTTTATTGTGTCACGACTTATATTTAAGTCTTTTATCCTCCTTGAATTTATTCTTGTGTATGGTGTAAGTTGGTGCTCGAGTTTCATTTTTTTGCACATAGCTGTCCAGTTCTCCCAACACCATTTGTTGAAGAGGCTCTTTTTACTCCATATTATGTTGCTGCCCCCTTTGTCAAATATTAATTGACCATAGAGATTTGGGTTTATTTCTGGGCTCTCTATTTTGTTTCATTGGTCCATGTGTCTGTTCTTATGCCAGTACCAGGCTGTTTTGATTACAGTGGCCTTGTAATACACTTTGATATCAGGTATTGTGATCCCTCCTGCTTTGTTGTTTTTCTCAAAATTGTTGCAGCTGTTCAGGGTCGTTTATGGTTCCGTATACATATTTGAAGTGTTTGTTCTATATCTATGAAATATGCCATTGGTACTTTAATAGGGATTGCACTGAGTCTATGAATTGCTTTGGGTAATGTAGACATTTTGATGATGTTAATTCTTCCAATCCATGAACATGGTACATGTTTCCATTTGTTTGTGTCTTCCTTAATTTATTCAGTGTTGTATAGTTTTCTGAGTACAGGTCTTTTACCTCCTTGGTTAGGTTTATTCCTAGGTACTTTATTTTTCTTGTTGCTATATTGAATGGGATTTTTTTCCTGGTTTCTGTTTCTGATACTTCATTGTTGGTGTATAAAAATGCCATTGATTTCTGAATATTGACTTTGTATCCTGCTGTTTTGCCAAGTTCATTTATTAGGTTGAATAGTTGTTTTGGTGGAGTCTATAGGATTCTCTATGTACACTATCATCTTCCAGCCAGCTTTGAATTACACTTGTCATTGCACTTCATCCTAAATCCAGTCTACATATTTCACATTCCATAGGATCTTCTAAATGAGCCCTCTACCAAATTATGTGTAACAAATATTGCAAAATACCGTGTTGTATGGGACCCAGGGGGTACTTTTCTGGTTTCTTTGTCTTTGAGGCTGGTCACAGCCCGATAAGGCATTCTTGGTGTGGAGGCCCCTTAAGGGACATAAAGCCATGACCTCTGAAAGTTCTGGGCATTTTGGGAAGAGCTTTCAATGAGTTACATTGGAGATTTGGTACCCACTTCAGTGTTGCTTCAGAAGACCTTTGTGATTATAATAGAATTAGCTATTATGCCAGTTTGTAACACATGGTATCAATTAACTCTTTTTTGAAAAGTTGCTGTTTGATTCTAGCTTTGATTAAGGACCTTAGTAAATAGGTTTCAGGAATTGTGCACTAGGAAACTAATTTAGAGTTTAACAGTTTGGGAGATCCTGAGACTTACCCCCAAGAAAACCTGGGTAAAAAGTGTGATGGATGTCTTTGTTTCACTGAAAGGAAAACAATGGTTCTGGTAGGATATGACTGCCCTATTCCAATGTATTCTCCACAGACCTATGGCTAGTCAATATTAATCTTATAAGAAAAACAGGCCAATTCCAGCTAGATAGCCAGGGTTTAGAGAGATTTCATTTTGACAGTTCATACCAGTCACACACCTCCCAGCCCTTTTGTTGTTTGCCATTGCTCTTGCCTTTGGTCCCAAGCATCTATAACAGGAAATGGGGAAATGGTTTGGTAGGTTTTATGCAGCTGAAGTTATTATACATTTCATAGGAACTGTGTGTGGACACAGTTGGCTTGTAACCAATCTCAGTAATATACTTGCTGTCACTTTTCCATGGAAATGTTTTAGAAAGTAGTGGGTCCTAAGTGCTGAGGGTTCTGGCAGTGCATTTAGTTCATGTAGTAACAGCTAAGATAGTGCCTCCTGCTCCAGGTGGGTAGACCTTTCTGGATGGGTCAGCTCAGTGATTCAGTGTTCCTGGCAGCTCCCTGGAGGACCCTTTGGGCCAAGTATAAAAGGGCACAGCCACTTTTGCTGCACTCCCAATTGGCCAGGCCTAGCTAGGAATTGTGTCACAGCTTCCCTTTAACTTCACTTCGTCCAAGTCTCACACACAGTCATGCAAAGGGCCCCCAAAGTCAGTTCCATTGGCATTTCAAGATTGCTGTCAGACTGGGGGAAAAAAGAACTTTAAGTTTGGTTCCCCAGGACACCTGCTAAAAAAATTTCTTATTTCTCTAAATCTACTTGGCCTGACCTTTTTGGTACAGTGAGCCACTAACAGCAGTGCTATGAGTACTGAGTGGTCATGAGAAACAGTAAAACAGAAATAAATGGGCTCCTCATTTTTGGGTGAAACCCTGGGTTCTTGCAGTTTCCCCTGAAATGG